TTCTGAATGATTTGCAAGCTCACGACTTTCATCAGCACGCCGCTGGTCGGCATTTTTTGCATCGTCGTCATACGCGGCCAACAAGTCGTCCAAGAGCAAGATCTTTTTGTTGACGTCTTCATCCACGCCAGAGGCCTGAGCTGAAGCTTTGTCGCAATTGCGATGCGCATCGATGAGCAGCATAAAGCGATTGCATGCGCGTTTTGCGTCGATTTCGGGTCGGCTAAACTCGCAACGGCACTCCAACGGTCCATCACGAGACCCCGTCGCGCCTGGAATGGCATTTCAAGGGAAACCTGACGAAGTAGCATTATGCCGTCGTCCTTGGAGAAGTTGCGGCGTTTGTGGGTCGAAGCCATCAGCTCACTCACAAAGCGTGTTGTTGGTGCCAACACAGTGTGAGGATAATGACACCACTCCGTACAATGTGGCAAATCCAGTGAAAAAGTTTCGGTTTATACAGTACTTTCTCTGTTAGCAATTACTGTCACCACTGCAAAATCGACTTTTTTGCTAATACTGCCACCATTTCACAATCATTGGACAAAATGAAAACAAATGAAACTCATTGGTTAAAACTGTCTTAATGGTAGTGGAGGCTGGCAGCGACGAGAAGTGACACAGAACAGGACAAATTCTCCGTCAGTGTGCCTGCACGTCCCATCGCATCCTACTTCAGGTGAGGCAGCTTAAAGTTATTGTTTCCACGGTGCTCAAGTACCAACCGCATGACAGCTTGAAGAGTCAAAAAGACCTTGGCTAACTTCTCATCACTAAGAGCCTCAAATGCCATCAAGGTCGATGCAATGACCTCGTCAACAGAACGACTGATAGTTTTGTACTGCAGACTTTGGATAGATGCAACGAATCCCAGATCCAACACGTTTAAGTCAGGACTGTTTGGCGGCTGCCGACGTACCACGAACTGCCACCCATCGGTGGACATTAGGGCCAGCGTCGCCTCGTCGATTCTTCCGTGGGGCGTCGCATTGTCATGCTGGAGAACAACACACTTGCTCATGCTGGGAAACTTGGCCTTTATGGCAGGAACAACCTTGTTGACAAGGTAATCGCGGTACGTGGGCCCATCGACATTGACAAGCGTTGTCACCAATGTTCCAGCTTGACGATTTCGCGAACTTCGCAGGGCCGGCGTCCTTTTCACTAAGGGCCACAGCCCAATCTTTCCATCAAAGCCGTCGCGCGGCCGGGCCACGGCACACA